TAGGGGGGGGGGGGCTTGTCCCTTGAAACCTGAGCCTGACTGCCTCAAGGTGCCCTCAGTGCCCTGGGAGGGAGGTGCAGGGAGCAGGTGATGCTGCCTGAGCTGGGGGTCACACGTATCGTTAGTGTCGTCATTGGGGGTCGCGCGTACCGTTAGCACCCTTCCGGCGCAGGCTCGCGAGCAGGGAGGGGGCAGTGAGGAACCCTTAGCCTTCAAAGAGAGGCTTCTGTGTGTCCCTCAGGGCACCAGGGAAGTGGGCCTTGGGAGTATGTGGGTCTGGTGTGGGATGGCCACCTGGAGAAGCCTGGGGGACGTGTCTGTCCCTTGACACCCTCTCAGCTCAAGACACAGATGTGGCAGCTCCTCAAGGGCCACGACCACCTGCAAGATGAGTTCTCCGTCTTCTTTGATCACCTGCGCCCAGCGGCCAGCCGGCTGGGCGACTTTGAAGAGATCAACTGGACAGAGGAGAAGGAGTACGAGGTGCGGGGCCAGGGGCCGCGGGGCTTTGGGAGGCGGGATGGCCGTGGGAGCGCGGGGTGCCTGCCCAGGGTCCGCGTCGAGCAGCACCCACTCGTCCCCCAGTTTGATGGCTTTGAAGAAGTGGCCCTGCCTGATGTGGAAGAGGAGGAGGAGCCCCCAAAGATGCCCACGGCCTCAAAAAGCAAAAGAAGAAAAGAGATCGGGGTCCAAAATCACGATAAGGTATCCGGGTTGTTGGGCGTGATCTGTCGGTCGTGAATCAGGCCTTGAGTTTCGTGAGCATTTCTCTGGCCGAGTGTGCCACGCGTGCTGCAGGAGCCCGAGGTCAGGCCGTGGAGCCCCTGGCGGGAGGAGTGCGGATGCTGGAGAGCACCCCACCGGCCACCCCATTAGGAGGAGGTTTCCCCCCTCTTCTCTCTTGCTCGGAGCTATTTCTCTTGGGTCTTGTCTTCTTCCTTTCTGTTGGTATGAAGACACAGAAGCGAGCCCCCACTTTAGCAGTACTGGTGACAAAGTGCACGTGGCTCCTAGAGGCACGTACCTGGTCATTCTCTCGGTGAGCCCCATGGCAGTCCCCCCAAGAGACTGCTCTCATTTCATTTCACAGAGGCAGAAACGGACATTCATGGCGAGGCCGTCGCCAGGGCCTCGTGTCCATAAGTGGCTGTGCTGGGGTGCGAATAGGTCTGCACAGACTCCCTGCCCTCTGCTGCTCTCCAAGGAGTCTGTTTTCCTGAATGTCTTTTACTTTCCCTTGCGGAAAACGGCTTCTTAGCTGGATGACCTTGGGCAGCTTACTTCACCTCTCTCGGTTTCAGTTTCCTTGTTGTTGGTTGGGATAACTTGCATCCGAGATTACTGAACACAGAGTGTCATGTGGGGGCCTCCAAAAGCACAAAGAAAGCCCCCCTCAATGGGGCTGCGAGGGGGCAGAGCTCAAGGCACGGGGAGGCAGGAGCGAAGGTGGTCGAGTCAGGTCACACCCTGTGACGGCCTTTCCTGGGACTTTGCCTCAGATTGTATGTGACTTACGTATTTCTTGAAACATCTGGGCAACTGGGAGAGGTCCATCTTTGGGTCATTTAAGGGTGGTTTCGGGGATTTAGAACAGGCTGGGATTGAGAGTTCCTGGGCCGATTGGAGAGTTGGGGGCTCATGAAAGAGGAGGCTGGTGTGGGTGCTGGGGCGACCTGTTCTGAGGCCTCACGACTCTGCTTTCTCTCGGTCCCGGACGTGCCGGGCGGCTAACCAAGCCCGGTATCTCCTAGGAGGCCGAGTGGCCGGATGGCGCCCGGGACTGTGCTTGCTCCTGCCACGAAGGAGGCCCCGATCCCAAGCTGAAGAAAAGCAAGAGAAGAGGGTGTAGCCGCTGCAGCAGCAGGGTGAGCCGGGCCGGGCCGCACCGAGGGGCGGGCGTCCGCACTGCCTCCCCATTCGGGGTGAGGTCCGCTCCCGCACGGGGTACCACCTTGAGCTCCTGCAAGGACGGCACCCACGCGATAGGCGGTGCACGCGCTATTTGAGTCAAAATAGAATCTTTTACACGTGGGCAATGGATTTGCTTTTTAAAAAATTTTTTTCAACATTTATTTATTTTTGGGACAGAGAGAGACAGAGCATGAACGGGGGAGGGGCAGAGAGAGAGGGAGACACAGAATCGGAAACAGGCTCCAGGCTCTGAGCCATCAGCCCAGAGCCTGACGCGGGGCTCGAACTCACGGACCGCGAGATCGTGACCTGGCTGAAGTCGGACGCTTAACCGACTGCGCCACCCAGGCGCCCCTGGATTTGCTTTTTAAAGACAATCCTGTGGATGGGGCGCCTGGGTGGCTCAGTCGGTTAAGTGTCTGACTTCAGCTCGGGTCACAATCTCATGGTTTGTGAGTTCGAGCCCCGCATCGGGCTCTTTGTTGTCACTGCAGAGCCTGGAACCTGCTTCAGACCCTCTGTCTCCTCTCTGTCCCTCTCCTGCGTGCTCACGTGCACGCACTCTCTCTCAAAAATAAATACACCTTAAAAAAAAGTCCTGTGGGTAAAGCTTTTGGAATTGGATAACAATGAACTGCTTCAAGTATTTCTCAGCTTGCTTGCTTGCTTGTTTTTAATGAGATACATTTGTGTCAAGAAAACAGACCCTCGAAGTAATGCCGGGTCTCTAGGGTTGGTTGGCAGCAAAGATACAGTCCTTGCTTGGAGAACGGCGGGTAGAACCAGACACCTTCTGGGTCGTTTAAAGTTGGTGGAGCAGGTGTACTTGCCGGACGTGGGGGCAGGGCTTGGTCGCCAGAGAAAAAGGCAGTCAGGAGACCCCTGACCAAGGAGGCTGTTCCTGCAGGTCTGTGACGGCAGATCCTACAAGAGCAAGGAGCCCCATGAGTCGGCGGGCGGCAGCCCCCACCGCGAGGCCAGCCCTGTGCCTGGTGCTAAGGAGGCCGGGCAGGGCAAGGACCTGCTGGAGGAGGAAGTCCCAGACGAGCGGGAAAGCGTTGAGGCTGCCCAGGGCCCGCCCGGCAGGGGAGCTCTGCCTATTCCAGGTGAGTGTTCTGCCAGCCCCGCCTCTTTCCCCCCTTTTCCATGTCCTTACGTGCTTCAACCAAGAACGTCTCTGAGCCAGGACGAGCAAGTCCTTCTTGGATGGAGAACCCCCTCTTTTACTAACAAGTAATAGGAGATCCTTCTGTCCGGCCTTAACTTGCTCTGCTGTGGCCTCTGTCCTCTCGAGGAATTGGGAGTGCGAGGCAGCGTGACTGCATTCCCTTCCCTGCCCTCCGGACCCTGGTCATCTGCGTCCTGAAGACTGCCATTCTGGGCCTTGACAGTCGGGCTTTTATCTTCATTTAAGTGACTTCAGCCAGCCCCACCGCACTCTTTGAGATTGGGGCTCCATCACAGTAGCCCACCCGTGTGGCCCTGTGGTAACTGGGCGTCCCAGGGCACCTTGACCCCATCCATCCTCTTAGGTCCTTATTTTCCTCCTAAGCAGGATCAGCAGTGGAGAGCACGCAGGAAGTGACCCTGACAGAGCAGCTCGTCCTGGGGGGCCCACCGCCCTATTCACCCGAGACTCCTCAGCTTTCCTCCAGCCCTGGAGTTGTGCTCTGCGTGGTTAGGAGAAACCAGGCTGAGCGTGAGGTCCTGCCCTGCCCTGAGGCGTCCCCTAGACTTCGGAATGAGGGGGAGGACCAGGAGGCAGTGGGTGAGCCAGAGGCTTCCGTTCCCGCCTGGGATGCTTCGGAAACTGAGAAATGGCCTGGAACCGAGGAGAACCCTGCTTCCTTTCTGAGTCCCGTTTCCTCAAGGACCAGAGACTTAGGGAGGAGACGGTTGTCTGAGGTCTCAGACAGTCCGGGGAGCTGGTTGCTGTCGAGCAGAGCTGGGGTGAAGACCGCACACAGGATGTCCCCCGTCCACGAGTCGTTGTCGGGAACGGACACCTCAGAGACTTCTTCCAAAGCCCCTAGGGGAGGTTTGGTTAAGGACTGTGGAGCGCAGGGCAAGGCTCCCGTGGGAGAGCAGCAGCCGAAGACCACAGAAGCTACTGTTTGTGCCAACAACAGCAAGGTCAGCTCCACCGGGGAGAAGGTGGTGCTGTGGACCAGGTAGGTGGAGGGGGGGCCGCTGCGTGTGTATCTGGAAAATGAGTGCACGTGTCCATTTTGCTAATCTGGAGTTAATCGTGGTATGTGGGTTCCAGGGAAGCTGACCGCGTGATTCTCACCATGTGCCAGGAGCGGGGGGCACAGCCACAGACTTTCAGCGTCATCTCCCAGCAGCTAGGAAACAAGACCCCGACCGAGGTAAGTGGCGAAAGCCGTGCCAGAGCTTCGGGCCCCAGGGGATCCAAGCACACGGACTGGCGAGGAGAGGCTGGGTTGGCCAAGCAGGAGACAGGACACCAAGTGCGACTGTACAGATGGGCCCCAAGGAGGGGCCCGACTCGTCAGGGAGTCTGGTTTTAGTTTGAGAGAGGGCGGTGGACCGTCAGGAGCCCACAGACGTTCCAGGTCGTGTTCGGGAGCCGTATGATTTGGGGCCAGATGCTGATAAGCCTCTTGACCGGAGTCCCCTCTCGTGTGGGGAGGACACAGCCCTCCCGACCTCACTGTGGGGAACAGACCGATTGCTCGATCGGCACGTACTGCTTGGTCAACGTCAGAACCTTCCTCTCTGGCCTTAGGTTTCCCACCGTTTCCGGGAACTCATGCGGCTCTTCCACACGGCCTGTGAGGCCAGTTCTGAGGAGGAGGAGGACGCGACCAGCACCAGCAACACAGACCAGCTGTCTGACCGCGGGGACCTCCTGTCGGAGGAGGAGCTGGACGCGTGACTCTGGGCGCGTGGAGGTGTCATCTGCTGGCCCCGGCCGGCGGTGCTTGTGCTTGGCTGGCGCCCCACCCCCGGAGCTCAGGCTATAGGGCCGGAGGCGCGGGGGCTGAGGCCGACTGGGGGCGGATGGCTCTGCTAGCTTACGAGTCCTTCTGGGTCTTTCTGAACGTACTCGTGAACAGCATCGAGGGAGTGGGCTTGGCTCCCTTTCTACCTCCCCTCTCCCCCCGCCCCCCTCCCCTCCCGGGTCTGATGGCACATATTTATTGTTCTGTGATCCCACCACAGTGGTTCTAGACGTATGAAGTGCTTGTGTTGGTGTAGCCAGTCCCAGAACGTTGAGCTCCTATACCCAGCAGTTTTTATTGTAAACCAGCTCTTTTCTGTTCTTGGGAAGCCTTAGTCCACGAGGCCACCCCCACTCCGGTAGCACTGGGCCAGGCTGTGCAGCTCCTGCAGGGCCTCGTCCAGGTCCCCCTGCTCCACGCCGGCGGCCAGGAAGCTGGCCCAGCGCCGCACATCGAGCTTGGTGAGCTCTCTAGCCAGGTCTCCCAGGGTCCGGTTCAAGGACGAGGAGGAGCAGAGGGCCCCAAGCACTGGGATGCTCTCCACGGCTGTAGAGGGACACAAAAGGAGGCCTGAAAATGGCTTTTCTACCCCGGGCTCTGCCGCGCAGACTGGATGGGAGAGTGAACTCACTGGACTGTGTGCCGTCCCCTCAGTAAACCAATGCTCCAGAGGAAGGCCACGTCCCTCAGGGGCCACCAAGTGAATAAAGGGATGTTTAACTGTGGGCTTTGTCAAGAACCTTCATCTAGGAAGGGATACGGTAAAACCTCTCCCATACCCTCACTGCCCACGTACCTGCCCCAGATGGGGGACCATCCACAACCAAACCGTGCTGGCTGAGGCCTGGGGAGAAGAGCTGGGGGTACGGAGGAGCCACCATGCAGGGAGCCAGCAGCAAGTGGGCCGAGCTGTGGGGCGAGAGCAGAGGTTGAGCGAGAAGTTGAAGGAGGTCTGGGCGTGGGGAGTGGGCATCGCACTGACCTCCTGACTGTGGGCTGCTGCTGTTGTAAATACCGGGCCAGGACGTCTTCCCCAGTGGCGCACGCGTGCAGCGGCGAGGGCAGAGGGGTCCCCGGGGCCAGCTGGCTGCCGGAACAGAGCCAAAACCACCATTAATCTGTGGACCAGGAACTAGGGATTTTCCTGTTTGTAGGCCATCAGCGGAAGCAGGACGCTGAGGGTCTTTTCTTAAGGGGGGGAGGGGCAGAAGGAGGAAGAGTGGGGCGATGCCATCAGGATGTCCAGAGGTGTGTGCAAGACCAGGATGGGAGTCCGAAGTCCAACAGGCTCCCTGAACCTGCCCCCTCACCTGGTGTGGCACGCTCTGTCCAGACCCCTCAGCACCACGGACTGGGCGAAGCAGCACGTTCCAGAAGGGCTCCCACATGCAGACAGGGGGGTCCACGCGGCAGCCCCTCCCAGCTGCACCAGGGCGTCGGGAAGGGACTGGCCTGGGGCCAAGGGGAAGGGGATGGTGGCCGCTGCGGTCGCCACCTAAAGAGAAGGGAGAGATCAAGTAGCGGCTTTCTCTCCACTGTGACCGGCACCTGTGCAGTGCTCCGTACCTTCTTCCCAGAGAAGTTCAGCATGTCTGCCAGGTGAGCCATGAAGACTGGCGAGGAACGGAGGCGGTACGGAGCAGTGACGGTGTCCAGGGCTGTGGCCAGGATGGCACCACAGTGGAAAGGCAGGGCGGGCTGCGAAGATACCAAGAAGGGCACTTAGCCTTCAGGGTCTGGAAAGCAGAGTGTGAAGGCAGAGCCCTAATGGCAGAGACGTCCAGGCGCTTTGACAAAGGACAGCGTGCTCCAAAGGGGCCATGTCACGGGTGAGTACAAGCGGAGGGTTCGAGAACAGGGCTGGTGGCAGAGAAAGGCTGGGGTGGGGGCTGCAGTCCCAACAGGAACCTCGAGCCTTACGTCATAGTGCAGGTGGGGGAAGGTGACAGGTGGCTCCGGTCGCAGCCCCAGGCCCCCGCCCAAGGATAAGGGGCAGACCAGAGAGCTGTGGGCGGACATGTGCACCAGGCCCAACGCTGTGTTCAGCAGACGATAGATGTTTTTCAGGGGGTCCTGGGGGAAGGGAGAGTGACTGTTACGCAGTTTTCTCCCTGGGTGGTCTCGCTCCATGCCCCAGGACTTTTCCCCAAGGTGTCCTCACCCCACGACTGTAGGGCCCAGGGAGCAGGCCCCAGGTTATTATTCCCCGCCCTGAGTACTCGTCTCGTAGCAACTCGGCGGCCTTGGCACCTAGCCCAGAGAAGCCGTTGTGCAGGTCACACAGGATCTGGAAGCCCTGGAAGGAGACGGTGATGGCAGACGGGGCAGGCTGAGGTCCTGCCTAGGCCCCGCCTGGCCACACGGCTACCTGCAGGTGATCACACTCCTCCACGTAGAAGTGCAGCCTGTCCTCCACGTCTTCCAGGCACCGGGGCTCCTTCAGGATGCTCTCGCCTTGGCCGAAAGCCTCTAGGCGACCTGCTTCCCTGCCGGACGTGACCACAACCAGGACTTGCAGGAGCCCCGACCCTCACCCCCCTAGCCCTGCAAGATCCCGTTTGCAGGGACGGCGGGGAAGGTGGCCTCAGGAGCCCCATCAACATCGGCGGGGATCCCGTTTCTCGGTTCACACCCTTTGGGGCCCACGTACCCATCGTGGTTGTACTTCTGAATCATACAGATGCTCCGGGGGTGTAGATGGACCCGGAGGAAATCCGACCAGACTCTGATGCTGTCCTCTGTGGGGGTGAATGGTTTGGGGGCTGCAGCAGTGGTCAGCGGTGGGGGACCTGAAGAAAAACGAAAAGAAGTGTTCTTCCTGTTGCTGTTCTGCCCGTTTCCCTGCCCTGTAGTACCTGGTGGAAGTCTCACCTTTGCCATTGGGAATGGACTTGACCCTCCAGATCCCATCACTACTCAACACTCCCTGGGGGGGGGGGGGGGGGGGGGTAGAGAGAAATCTGCATTTAGTTCCAGGCAGTCTACAGGCAAAAGTTGACTGATTCTCTTGGATTCTGACCAAGTCTACAGCCTGCCTTCACCCAACAGTCACATTCTGTAGGAAAAAAAGTGCTGCTTCCCAAAATGCCATCCCAAGGTACTTAAAATGATCAAAATCCTTTTTCTCTGCCCCAGTGGAGGCCACTCTAGCTCTAGCAGTAGAGGCCCTCACCTCTGCACTCAGAAGGTCCTGGAGGCCAGGGATTTGGGGATAGAGTTCCTCCCTGTGTGTGGTAAGCTTTCCCTGCCTGGGGGGGGGGGGGGGGAAACGGAGAAGGATTTCAGTGACCGTTCCTCGCAGCTGTCCAGCTTCCTGTGCACATTCCCACTGCCAACGTCACCAGTACCATGCTATTGCTGCATCCAGCTGTCTGTCCCCGTAGAGTCCACCTTCTTGTTTTAGGGAGCTCAGGCTACCTGTACAAAAAAGAACAGGCAGCGTCGGGTCGAGGCCTCGCTCCTCCCTGCCTCCCCGCCTCCGGCTAATCTTCCTGCCAGCCTGCTGCCACCGAGCTTTCGTGCACACACTTGGGCCCGGTAAAACCCTCGTCTGGGAGAATCCAGATTCTCCTCCATCCCCAGCCTGGGCGTGAGCTGTGCGGCCGTAGGAAGGGAGCACCGCGGGGTCCCACGAGAGTGCCACAGTCCACCGGGTCCCTGCGGCTGCTTGTCTCCGGTCCGCACGCCCGGGGGCTCCCTGCGCGCTGGCCGACCCCGGCCGCCGCCTCACCCTTGAGATCCATGAGGATGAGTCTAGGCGTGTACGTCTCCTGGCCGTGGGGCGTCCGGCCGGTCCGGTATAGGACGTCGGGACACAGCTCTCCCGGCGGTTCCTTGGCACCGGTCGGGGCGCACAGCGCAGCATCCTGGGGGTGCACAGGGGAAGGCCTGGCCTCAGCGGGGACGGCTGGAGACCCCGAGCGGCCCCGCGGCGACAGCGCCCGCAGGCCTCACCTGCTGGTTCCACCAGTGCGCTCCCACGAAGCCCGCAAAGTGGCCCAACTGCAGCGTGAGCACCTCCCGGGCCCCGCCCGCCATGCCGCCCGGCTCCGCTGGGTCGCGCAGGCGCGGCGGCCCACTCGCCGCTCGGGGCCCATTGGATCGTCGGCTTGTGGGCGGGGTCTCCGCCCCCGCGCAGTACTGGTCCACACGTACGTCCTTTCCCGTAGGGCGAGCGATTCGTCGGGCTTCGGAAGCCCCGCCTCCACTCGGGCCAGGCCGGCGCTGGCCCAGCTCTCGCTGGGGGGCGGGGCCCGGCGCGGCCGGAAGTGGCCGGCGCGGGGGCCGGGCGTCTCGTGGCCCGCTGTGGGCGGGGCCTGGCGTCTCGCGTGGGTCCAGCCGGCGGCCGAGCGGAGGAGGCTGCGGTCGCTGCGTCGGCGTCGCCTCCCGTAGTGCGGGCAGGCCTGCCTGTCCGTCACGTCCCGTGAATGAGGCGCCCTTGGCAGTGTTTTGCGTCTGCCTTTTGTTCGATGTCGTCTGAGAAACTCTCCCCCAACCTTGCGCGTACTTGCAGCTACTCTCGTGGCCCCGTTGTGCGGGCGCGCCGCGGCCGAGGGGTGCCCTGACGGCGGGCCGAGGTCGCCCCAGCTGGCGGCTG